CTTTGAGACCATGGTCTCCGGGTCTCCAGAGGCGGTCCTCTTCTTCCCCTAAGGAGAGGAATTTTCCATTCCTCCTTTCCGGACAGCCTCCTTCAGGGAGGCAGGAGCTTCCTTGTCCCCCCCCCCCCTCATTTTCTTCCAAAGGCGCAACCTCCAGCATCCTGGTTAACACGAGATCCGGCGTGGTCTCAGGGAGGGGGCGGACACCTGATCAGCTTTGCCTTCGCTATCCACTCCTGTTTTAAAGACAGCTCTTTTAAGGGCAATGTTATGATGAATATACGGATAAGCGTGTCCGGGCACAGGGCTACTTACTTGAGTATCCGGACGATTGTAGCTCAGACCTGCGTCCTCGGTCAAGTCCGGACACATTGCTTGTGATCTGAAGAACAATTTGCACATCTCCACGGGCGTCGCTCCCATAAAATGTTGGAGAGCTCGTGGTCCCTCCGGATTGAACTCCCATAGGCGGAGGGGGCGACGTTTGCAGGGCAGGGTTCGGCGAATCAACATGACCTGCATCACCACGACCAGATTGATGTCTCTTTCCAGGAGATCACGAATGCGACCCTGCAACAGGGGCACGTCCTTTGCCGGCCCCCAGTCCAGCCCCTTATTGACCCATGATGCTAGTCGGGGCGGGGTACCCGAGCAGAAAGCAGGCGGTGCCACCCACTTGGTACCCCTGGGAGCTGTGATATAAAACCACTCTCGTTGCCATAAGCTGGGCTCCTCTTGAAAAGAGCCCTCGGGCCATGGAGCATCGGCATTCTTGCTTATAACAGCGCCTCCGCACTCCGCGTGCTGTCCCTCGATCTTCTTCGGCTCGACTTTGAAGGTCTTGAGCCATAGTCCAAAGTGAGGAGTAATACGGAGGAAGGCTTCACACACGACGATGAATGATGAAATGTGGAGGATGGACTCTGGAGCTAAGTCATGAAATTCCAACCCATAATAGAACATGAGCCCCCTCACGAAGGGATCCGTCGCAAAGCCTAACCCTCGGAGGAAGTGAGATGTGAACACCACGCTCTCACCGGGCCTGGGAGTGGGAATAACCTGCCCTTGAGCAGGCAGCCTATGCGGGATTTCGCCGGTCAGGTACCTGGCATCCCTTAGCCGTAGCACATCTTCCTCCATAACGGAGGAAGGCATCCATCGGCCTTGAAGGTCGGAGCCGGACATCATCGAAGGTCCGAAGCGCCTAAATCTGGAGCCTTGGGTGTTGGAACTCGAGGCGAGAGGCGGATTCGATTGAGATCAAAAGAAAGGAGTAGAGCCTTGGTCTCTTTATAAGAGGTTGAATACCAAGAGTCCTCCCCGTGACCGTTTGGGACTCACCGTTGATCGAGAGGATATACCAACGGTCACGACTGGGTTACCCACGCCCGTATTGATGAGGATCCCGTAAATTAAGGGGACACGATCTCTGCTTCAACAAGACGTGCCAAGGAAACCGCCTCGCAAAACGCGCTAAGGTGGGACAGTAAAAACAATTTACATAAAGGCTTGGTTGTGGTGTGATGTCACGCTGCGGAATACGTCAGCAGATTAGATTTGTGCAAATATTATTCTCTCTACGGCAGTATGTGGAACTTATTTTGCAGAGTCAGACACTATCCTTGTGTTCAAAATCTTCTATGAAGTATTCGGAGGAGGAACCCGCCTTGCAATGCCGAAGACAATCTGCGCGCCGGACTCATCGTCATTGAAGCCTGGTTCAGGGGCTACTGAGGGAGTCCTGGATTAGGGGGTGTCCAGATAGCCGGACTATAACCTTTGGCCGGACTCTCGGACTATGAAGATACAAGATTAAAGACTTCGTCCCGTGTCCGGATGGGACTTTCCTTGGCGTGGAAGGCAACCTTGGTGATACGGATATGTAGATCTCCTCCCATTGTAACCGACTCTGTGTAACCCTAGCCCTCTCCGGTGTCTATATAAACCGGAGGGTTTTAGTCCGTAGAAGGAGAACAACAATCATACCATAGGCTAGCTTCTAGGGTTTAGCCTCTCTGATCTCGTGGTAGATCCACTCTTGTACTACCCATATCATCAATATTAATCAAGAAGGAGTAGGGTATTACCTCCATCGAGAGGGCCCGAACCTGGGTAAAAACATCGTGTCCCTTGTCTCCTGTTACTATCCGCCTAGACGCACAGTTCGGGACCCCCTACCCGAGATCCGCCGGTTTTGACACCGACAGGAACCCTTTCCCCTCCCACCCAGGTTCGAGGGTGAAGAACCACTGGTGAATAGGGCAGCGAATATCTCAATGAAGATAGTATACTCAGCGCTGCATACTAACTGTAGCTCAAAACCTGCAACAACCGCATGATACGTCTCCAACGTATCTATAATTTTTTTTTGTTCCATGCTATTATATTATCTGTTTTGGATGTTAATGGGCTTATTTGTACACTTTTATATTATTTTTGGGACTAACCTACTAACCCAAGGCCCAGTGCAAATTGCTGTTTTTTTGCCTATTTTAGTGCTTCGCAGAAAAGGAATATCAAACGGAATCCAAACGGAATGAAACCTTCGGGAGAGTTATTTTTGGAACAAACGTGATCCAGGGGACTTGGAGTAGACGTCAAGAAATCAACGAGGAGGCCACGAGGCAGGGAGGCGCGCCGTGCCCCCCTGGGCGCGCCCCCCACCCTCGTGGGCCCCTCGTAACTCCACCAACGTACTTCTTCCTCCTATATATATCCATATATCCCGAAAACATCCAGGAGCACCACGAAACCCTATTTCCACCGCAGCAACCTTCTGTACCCGTGAGATCCCATCTGGGGACCTTTTCCGGAGCTCCGTCGGAGGGGGAATCGGTCACGGAGGGCCTCTACATCAACTCCATGGCCTCTCCGATGATGTGTGAGTAGTTTACCACACACCTTCGGGTCCATAGTTATTATCTAGATGACTTATTCTCTCTCTTTGAATCTTAATACAAAGTTCTCCTCGATCTTCTTGGAGATCTATTCGATGTAACTCTTTTTGCGGTGTGTTTGTCGAGATCCGATGAATTGTGGGTTTATGATCAAGTCTATCTATGAACAATATTTGATTCTCCTCTGAATTCGTTTATGTATGATTGGTTATCTTTGCAAGTCTCTTCAAATTATCAGTTTGATTTGGCCTACTAGATTGATCTTTCTTGCAATGGGAGAAGTACTTAGCTTTGGGTTCAATCTTGCGGTGTCCTTTCCCAGTGACAGCAGGGGCAGCAAGGCACGTATTGTATTGTTGCCATCGAGGATAAAAAGATGGGGTTTATATCATATTGCTTGAGTTTATCCTTCTACATCATGTCATCTTGCCTAATGCGTTACTCTGTTCTTATGAACTTAATACTCTAGATGCATACTGGATAGCGGTCATTGTGTGAAGTAATAGTAGTAGATGCAGAATTGTTTCGGTCTATTTGTCGTGGACGTGATGCCGATATACATGATCATGCCTAGATATTCTCATAATTATTCGTTTTTCTATCAATTGCTCGACAGTAATTTGTTCACCCACCGTAGAATATGCTATCTTGAGAGAAGCCTCTAGTGAAACCTATGGCCCCCGGGTCTATCTTTTATCATACAAGTTTCCAATCTATTTTACTTTGCAATCTTTACTTTCAATCTATATCATAAAAATACCAAAAATATTTATCTTATTATCTCTACCATATCTCACTTTTGCAAGTGCCCGTGAAGGGATTGACAGCCCCTTTATCGCGTTGGTTGTGAAGTTCTTGTTTGTTTGTGCAGGTACTAGGTGACTTGCGTGTACCTCCTACTGAATTGATACCTTGGTTCTCAAAACTGAGAGAAATACTTACGCTACTTTGCTGCATCACCCTTTCCTCTTCAAGGAAAAACCAACGCATGCTCAAGAGGTAGCACCGCGTAATTAACCTCATGGCACCGCTCACGGGCCTCTCCTAGCCAAACGACACCCCCAGGAAGGTAACGACACAGAGTGTTGCCGCATCCGCAGGGATAACAGGAATTAACATTGGGTCGGAGAAGACGTGGTAGGGAGAAGGGATCACGTCGGTGCCTCCAAGGAGGAGAACAACGCCCGCAGACAGTGTCACCGACATGGTTGGCCAAGCCACCAAAGGATTTCTCCCGAACCCCACTTACGCCACCATCAGCCCGACTAGACAAGATCAGCGACGCGAGATCCGGTGGGAAGTGGACCAGATGGGAAAAAGGAGTGACCTTCAGATCTGACGCAAGAAGAACCGCGAGACCAGACCGCCGGCCATGAACCGCGCCCGTGTCACTACACCGCCCACACGGCTGAGGACGGGGGCCCTCTCGTGTGAGCACCACCAGCCGCGAAGATGGCGTCGCCTCTCCAAGCAGGGCCGCCGCCATGGAGCCCAAAGCCCTCCGCCGAGACCGGAGCTTTTCCAAGAGCCCATATACCTTTTCCATAAACTGAACTTATTTCCTATATACTAACCTTATCAACCCAAGTTAATCAAACCCATGGAAATCGAACTGAAGGAGCAAATTGATAAAGTACCATTTTCTGCTTTGACAATCCATCATGTTCTCTTTTGATGGAACATCTTATAATCATCGAACATCTACATTTAACCCCTAACTGAACACATGTCTACATTTAAGTTAGCTATTTCTTCTGTCTCACCCCTTGCTGAAAACACAACATATTCCACGCTGCCAAACACACCAATCGGAAAAAGGCAATTTTCACTTTTCATCGATTAGAAGCAGCTCCGAAAAGGAAATTAAAGAAGCAACGATCTCTCTCTCTCTCCCCCACCCCACCCCGCCCCGGCCCTGCTCCCCGCCCCGCCACATCACGCAGCGTCCACGGCCGCTCGCCGCTCGCCGCTCGCCGCCGCCCCTCCCTCCCCCGGCCCCCCGACCTCGGCCGTTCGGCCCCTCCTGCGGGCGGAGGTGAGTGGTGAGCCTCCCTCGCCGCCTTGCCCTCCAGAGGGAACAAGACGAGAGCGATCGGCGTCGGGATGCTGAGGCGGCGGCTGAGCTCCCTTCTCCTCCGATCCCCGTGCTCCTCCTCCGCCGCCGCTTCCTCCTGCCACCACCAGCAACAGCACCACCTCCTCCTCCCCACCCACGCCGAGGTAACCCCACGGTCCCCTTTCTTTCTCTCCCGCGCATTCCGTCGAACGCCTCGCGCGCGCGCCCAACGTGGCCGGACCGGATCTGGCGTGCTCGCCTTTCTCGCCCCATTGGGGTCAACACGCTCCTTCCGTTCCCAGATGCTCATCCGCCTGACTGTTTTCCTCGCAGAAACCGCCGGCCCTGAATCTGCTCAGGCTCTTCACATCCCTAGCTGTACGTTTGTTCCCAAACCCGCATTCTTATTATTTGTGACAGCTATGCAGACTGCATCTGAATAATTGGTGGTGTGCCCTCTGTTCATTCTGTAGGGAACCGATGGTGAGAGGCCGTTCATCGCTTTCGTCTTAGGTAAAATTTTCCTACTTTTACACCCAATATGTTGCAGGATTATTATTTTTCTTCCTTCGAAATGGAGGCAAAAGCTTTGTAGGGTTGATTTCACATTTATATACTCTATGTGTATCCTGTATAGAGTAAATTGAGGAACCCTTCTCTCAATGATAATCAGTGCTGTTTCAAGTTGGATTGTGTTGTGGCGCTCAAATTTCAATTGTTCGCACGACTAATCAAGGTCCTGCGTATAGGGGGGCCTGGGAGTGGGAAAGGAACGCAATGTAGTAGGATCGCCTCAGATTTTGGATTTTCTCATGTGAGTGCTGGTGACCTTCTGCGGAATGAAATAGCTGCTGGCACTGATCAAGGGTAATACTTCTTTCCGTCCAATCCTCTGATAGCCTTATAATGACGCGCACGCACATGCATGGTTCGGTGAATTGATTTGTCAGTTTCATGGCATTTGCCAGGGAGTGGATCCTGGAGATAATAAGGGAAGGGAGGATTGTTCCATCGGAGATAACTGTTGAACTGGTCAGAAAAGCAATTGAATCAAGCACTGCTAAAAGGGTTCTTATCGATGGTTTTCCAAGGTGTGAGGAAAACAGAATTGCCTTTGAAAAAATAGTAAGTTCTCTATTTGGCTTGCATTACTGGTCCAGAAGTTTCTATTAATTAAAATTGTATGTGATGAGATGGATAAGTCCATGATGTTCATCAGTTTCGGTTCAATTTTTGGGAAGGCTGATAACAGGTGAATCTTCAAGTTTTGTAGCGCTCTTGCCTGTAACCATCTGTGTATACACACTTGTCTTTACATTTTTTACGCCAATATGCTGGCCCAAAACTGCCAGTGTACAGTATGCAATCAGCAGTTTCTTATGTATGTATTTTTTTTTAGTAGCAAATCAATAACTATGTCCTGCTCTAGAGAGATGCACTTTTAGGATTTATGCAGTAGTCCACAGTTATGTTAGCCCCACTATGGTGGATGTATAGTTGCATCTCAACAACTACTACAAGTATTTATATCAAAGAAAATGTGTGTGCTGTGGTCGGGCAATTAGAAGACACTGGCATACCAACTAAGATATGTTTCATTGTTGTCCACTCAATAATTGCTAGTCAGATAAATGTAGATTGCATGGTCCTGTTCTGATATGTTGACTAATAAATTTCAGACTGGAACTGAACCAGACCTTGTGCTTTTCTTTGACTGTCCTGAGGATGAGATGGTTAAACGTCTCCTAAGCCGTAACCAGGTTGGTCTTCGTACTATCTATGGAGTAAATTGTGCTAGATATATATACACAACATGAGTACTGTACATTTCTCAATTCTTATTTGAAACTTACTCAACGTGTGTTTTTCTAAGATTTTATTTCTCAGACGTTACTTTCGGCTTTGACAATTATCCTCTTATCACTCCCTCTCTCTTAACTAACATGAAATATAGCATTCCTAAAGGATAGTCCTTGTGGATTACCACAAATGATTTTCTTCTTCATATGTCATTTAAATTGAAGAGAAAAACACTAATCTCATTAGTGTAGTTTGTGGATATCAAAATGGGAGGTTGATTAGTGCTCTAGTGGAGTTTCCTTTAAAAAATATCACATTAGATTGATCTCTCTATTTGTTTCTACTTTTTCGATTATCTCATGTATGCGTCTTAGGGACGAGTTGATGATAACATTGAGACAATCAAGAAGCGTCTAAAAGTGTTCGAGAGTTTGAATCTTCCTGTTGTAGAGTACTACTCTTCAAGGGGAAAGGCACACAAGGTAATTAATATATTTATTTAACGCAGAGTGTCCTGGACAGGAGCACTTCTTGTACCTTTCTTTTATGAACCGTACCTTTACTTTTTGACGTGCATTTTCCTATTTCCTTCACACGGAAACAGAGCTCTACCTTTTGTTCTAGAAGTTGATTTAAAAGGCTTCTTAATGTGCAGCATTAAACTATACCTGGCTTATTCTCTTGAACATTTACAAATGCCAATATATATTTCAGAAACGTCAAACATATGGGTTACCAGTGTATAAATAGCAGGATAGTATTTCCGGGGAGTCATAGGACAGAGAGGTAGAGCCAGGATGCGATTCCCTCGTCTTCTGAATTTCATATAACCGTAAGACCATTTTTCCATGTTGTGGAGGGGAGTGAGATCAGAGATCTGCCTATTTATTTGATATTAGATGAGTGTCTGTAATTCACTCATTTTGGAAGAGATTGCTAATCTCTTCAGAAGGGGTACATATCAGGGATATAACATAGTAACATATTCTGTATATCACTCATATTGAGGATCTGTAGGATGTCTTATTTATTGTTTAGACTTGACCTTTGGATGTGTAAGACTACTTGTTGATCTCCATGCAGATAAAGGCAACGGGAACTGAAGATGAAATCTTTGAAGCAGTTCGCAAGTTGTTTTCTTCCTTAAGGTAAATCCTGATGTTTAAGACACGAAATTCCTGTCATATACTGTGACTATGTCCGCTCTCCTGAAGGAGGTGCACATTCTTGCATCATCTGATTTCTGATTGCTTGCATATCATTTTTCTAGTGCCAAATTTGTTCTGAAAGCTTTTCAGTCCTCACATATTTAGCATATGCTATCCCTTAGAATTAAATGCCCAAGTTGCAGCACCCACTCTTTCCATACATTAACAAGCGATGGTGAGTTGTTTTATACTAAGCCTGCCGTTGCAGTTAGGCTAGGCCATCGCCATAAGCAAAAGGGTATTGCTTGTAGGTAGAAAGAGCTTGAGTTTCTGAATCCTTGCCATTTGTGTTCACTGTGCACAATAAAGAAAGACAAACTGACAAGCAAAATGAAGAGAGTGGCATTTGTCTTGTTGATTGATGGATAAGGAGGAAGAGGTCCAGGAGGATGCTACGTCGCAAACTTTGTCATCTTGCTGACTCGCCGAACCCTCGCCTGTAGCTAGTTTCTTGACACGTTTGACTAAGCAATGCTAGCAACTTGCAGTTGTCCCAGCTTATGATAAAGATGTACTCCTACTTTGGTACTAGGTATACAAAAAGGTTATTGCAATCGTTTGACCACTTCACCATGTCTGCAGGCTATGAGGAGGCGGCCGTCCTCTCTCACACGGGAGCCGGGGGAATTAGAATTGCGCCTGGCGAAAATTGTGTTTCTTTTGTCCCTTTCATATAATCTTTTAGCGTAATAATTGTACATATTCTGATACACGGACGGTCCATACCTGTGAGAAAACAGAGGGCCGGTGAAACGCCCAACCTGCGATGATAAACCCTAACCTTGCGCTCTCGTCGCGCTCCACTGTACTGTATAACGCATGATATTTTCTGCCTCACACCCTACAAGGCTACAATGTATGTCTGCCCCCCTTTTTTTTACCGGAATAACTGTGTGTGCGCCGTGCTTGGGTGGTGACGATTTGCTGTCTATATGTCTGTTCTCAGAGATGAGATGAGAACTGCCGGCGTCCGATAAACTAGTGATCTGACCGGAGGAACAAGTAGTCTACGTTTGGATTTATATACTTATATTAGTTAATGTGAACTGCCGGCGTGTTTTTGTCAGTTCTTTGGACCGGCCGTTTATGTTGTTAATTAATGTGATCGCCGGCGCTTCCACGCAAAGTCTACTCTGAAAAAACTCCAATGTTGTCTATGCATGATGTGAGGAGAAACTTGTACTGTCGACGATTCATTCATTTTCCTGCCTGCATCCTCCGCCTTGCATACCATGGAGCGGGGACACGTGGCGCTTGCTAGAGGACTCACCAGCGCATCGGCCATTGACGTGCCAACACGTGGACTCCTCCAAGGGCAACATAGATGATTGCCAAACACAGAAAAGTTGCAATATTGCTAGGTACTCTATTTATTTATTTATTTTTGAGTTGGTACTCTAGTTGTTCGTACTTCCTAGTATGTGGAAACTGTCTCGATCGTACGCACATAATCCGGGAATTGAAGAGGTTGAGGTGAACATGAAATTCGTATTGGAATTATTAGGCGTAGAGGAAAAGATGATTGGTCACGAGCAACGTCGGCATCGACTGGACCTATCTACCGTGGGTCCGTGATGTGAGGTCATGCGTAGACTTTTGGGGAGCAAAGCTCCAACCGGGCCTGCATCCAAGCATGTCACCATGTGTTGTTGGAGAACACAAGCAAGCCAAATATTTTCTAATGCATAGATAAGCCAAAAGGGAGCGAAAATGAAACGGAAATTGTTGTGCTTACTCCACTGGGGAGTGAGGATATGCCGATATGGACATAATTAATTTGTTTCTATATCTCACAAATTTAATGTGTTTGTGTTACCTTTTTTTAAAGGTGGGGTGAAAAGCCCATCTGAACATTTCATGAGCCAATCAAGCGGCAAAAAGAGCAGTACAAGAGTTCTCCGGACGGAGCCAAGGGTGGCAGTGGGCGTGACAGGCAGCAACCTACGACAAGACATGGAAATTTTGAATTTGCAGATGGATCCAGAACACCTTCAACACCAAAGCGCGACGTCTACAGCGATGTCGCGAGGGGCGTGCGTTGCTCACGAAACACCTTGATATAAGTGCGACGCTTAACGTGGGCCAGCGGATAATGCAAAAATATCCACCGCCTCACTGACCATTGGATGGGCACGTTAACGATCGTTCGATTTACCCATGTAAGCAGCCACCTTTTTGCAACAAGAGTGGTGCTGCAAAAGGCCTTCTGCAATAGGATGTTTGTTGCAATCACCTTGAAGTGTTTATTTTTTTTCGATAAAATCTTTGCAACAAAGGTAATGTTGTAGAAACATTTCAACGGACTATGTGTTGCAGAAAACGCTGTTGACCATTTTTATTGAAATTTTTGCAATAGAGCTCGTGTTACAAAAAAAACCTTTTGCAACGTTAGACATGTTGCAGAGAGCATTCTAGTGGTAGTTACATGCAGCTCATCGGAGAAGCTCATCGGCGTGCTTGCCAGCGCCAAGTGTCGGTTGCGGCAGTCTGAGCAACACGGGGAGGCGGCGACTCGACGGGAACTTGGGGGCAGTCGGAGCAACATGGGGAGGCGGCGACTCGGCGGGAGCTCGGGAGGAGCACGAGAAGCGACTTCTCTCAAGGATCTAATCCTGCAACAGAGATGTTGTTGTGATGAGAGAGATTGCAGCGATGGCCAGTTGCAAAAACTAGTGGGATTGCGATCCGCCCGGTGATTTATAGCGTTTCGCTTAATATAATCAATTTGTTGTTCTAATCAATTTATTTCTTTTTTCAAAACGGAATATTGATAGTTGCCCCTCTTACAAATTTAGGTGTTCCCGTTTTTATTTTTTGAAAAATACCAAGTACTAAAACATGCGTACTAGATAGATATGCGCACGCACACACACATATAGCCTTCTAATCCATGGACACATCACCAAATTACCCCCGAGTTTTCAAAAGTTTAATATTTCAATGTTAGCTTTTCCAAATCAAGGGTTTTATAGTGGTAGCATTCTGCAATTAACTTGCTATACTAAGAAGGATGAGGGAAGCCTAGGAGAGCCGCCAACTCCAATTGAAGGAAGACGTGACGTTTTATTAATCCCCAACGAGAAAATGCACATTGTTTCCTTTTTTTTTCCTATCAAATCGGTCATAACCATTGCCTACATTTCACAAAATAGTACAAACGAATAGGCCTGTGATTCCGTACAAAGACATGACGACCCTCTTCGGAAAAAAAAAATTCATGAGATGGAAGTATAAATATAATATTCTTAGCTACATCTTGTGAAGATTGTAAATGGAGGAAAGGTCCATTTGGGACTCTTGTAGGGGGGCACATAGCCTCGTGTTAGCCTGCATGATTAACCAGCTAGCTGCCGCTAACGGTGAAAGCTAGCCAGGATTACGACCCCCTCTCCCTATGAATCTATGATCAGCTGGGTGTATTTGTCCTACGCCCCAAACAGCAGGCGAAGGTGGTTCACTAGGAAGGACAGGGACGCAGCTAGCTGGAAGCAAAATTCCAAATTTGCAGGACCGAGAATCTCAGCCTTGCGTCCTTGTGGCAATCAACCAAGCAATGCTCGACGGAGGGACATCGATCCTCCAAATAAAGAACAAGGGGATGTTGGAACATTATTGAACAAACTGAGTGCAAAGGACTGCCAAGTCCCACAGAAAAAAATTCTTAGTACATAGCAACCATTGTTAAAATGCGGGCGGCAATTATCGACCTACATTGTTTTTTAAATTTCCCTTGTGAAAAATAATAAAAGTGATTGTTTACTATATGTAGTTTGGTGATTCTTCAAGTCGGCATATCCGACTCTCCTATCTTTCACCCCTTCTCATCTCTGCTGCTCATCTCGTGTGCACACAAATCTCCTTCCAACTCGTATATGTGTTATGGAGATCATGATGATTTGTAATAAGAACTTATGAAAATAGAATGACATATCTTGCAAAATTTAATTCAGTGTGTATTCCAATTGGCGATGATGCTCCAAACCAAATGTCACCAAATCCTACCTTCAAAATTTGTTCGCCTCCCCCTTCACCGCACCAAAACGAATGAATGAAAACAAAAAAAAAATCCAAAATTTGAGTGGTTCCGGTTTTTTTTTCTAGAAATACTAACCGGCGAACGTTTCCTGGGAGGGGGTGACAAGGGAACAATTTCTTAAGGCATTTTTAGGTGGTAGGAGATGGCTAATTCTGCTTGTTTTTGTCGCAAAATTTTCTTCTTTTCAGAAACTGTCATGCATATCTAAAGAAATTGTCATGTGCCTCTGAAAAAACTGTCAGCAAAAACGTTCGCCAAATAAGTTTCCAAATAAATATCCACATTAAAGATGATGCACATATCTAAACTGATAAATTGGCAGTAAATAAGTTTCCAAATATACTGAGTAAATGCAATCATCACTGACTAATGATGCTCCAAATGTCGCCCTCTGCTCCTCCTCAATGTCGCCGTCTCTTTCTCCCCCTTCTCGCAACAGAATCAAACAGAGGAGCCACCAAGATCCCATCTATAAATACCGCCACCTCCGCCGATCGTCTTCCACCGCCGATTTGTCTCCACCCATCAGCTGCCGCCCTCACTCCTCTCCGCCGCCCCGCCCGTTCAGAGGGACGAAATGGCCGTGTCGACGGAGCTGCCGGAGGCCGGGTCCCCGCAGGGGACGGAGGCGACGGCGCCGCCTCCTCCCGGCCTGCGGTACAACTCGCCGCTGGTCCAGGTGTCGCTGATCGGGCTGGTGTGCTTCTGCTGCCCGGGCATGTTCAACGCGCTGTCCGGGCTGGGCGGAGGCGGGCAGTTCGACCACACCACGGCCGACAACGCCAACACGGCGCTCTACGCCTGCTTCGCCGTCTTCGGCGTCCTCGGCGGCGCCACCCACAACCTGCTCGGCCCGCGCCTCACGCTGCTCCTGGGCTCCCTCACCTACCCGCTCTACGCCGCCTCCTTCCTCTACTACAACCACCACAAGTCCCAGACGTTCCCCATCACGGCGGGCGCCCTCCTCGGCGCCGGCGCGGGCCTGCTCTGGGCGGCGCAGGGCGCCATCATGACCTCGTACCCGCCGCCCAACCGCCGGGGCAGCTACATCTCGCTCTTCTGGTGCCTCTTCAACCTGGGCGGCGTCCTGGGGGGGCTCCTCCCCTTCTCCTTCAACTACAGCCGCACCGACGCCGGCAGCGTGAACGACGCCACCTACGGGGCCTTCATCGGCTTCATGCTCCTGGGCGCGGCGCTCACCTTCCTCGTCCTCCCGCCCGCCAAGATCGTCCGCGACGACGGCACGCGCGCCACCAGGGTCACCTACTCCTCCGTGTCCACCGAGGGGTGGGAGATCCTCAAGCTCTTCACCAACTGGAAGATGCTGCTCATCCTGCCGGCCGCATGGGCCAGCAACTTCTTCTATACCTACCAGTTCAACAACGTCAATGGCCTCCTCTTCACGCTCCGGACCAAGGGCCTCAACAACGTCTTCTACTGGGGCGCGCAGATGATCGGCTCCGCCGGCATCGGATACTTCCTCGACTTCGGCTTCGCCAGCCGCAGGAAGCGGGGCCTCATGGGCGTCGCCGCCGTCGCCCTGCTCGGCACCGCCATCTGGGCCGGCGGCCTCGCAAACCAGCTCACGTACCTCGACGGCGAGTTCCCCGACAAGATCGACTTCAAGGAGGGCCGCCGCTACGCCGGCCCGTTCCTGCTCTACTTCAGCTACGGCCTCATGGACGCCATCTTCCAGAGCCTCATCTACTGGATCATCGGCGCACTCGCAAACGACTCACAGATCCTCAGCAGGTACTCTCCATATATACTCTCCATTTATACAGCAGTAGTCCATGTCTGATGAATTCAATTCCTCACTGATTTTGATTTTGGATTGGCAACTAATCTTAACCTTGTTTCTGATATATTACTATACTTGAATTGATTAACTGTTAAGTTAGTGTTAACACGGATAAATAGGATTCTTTAAATTTGTAGTGCTGAATTTAGCTGTAGAATCCACTGTTTGATAGAAGAAGAAGATCTCACTCTCTTCTTCTTCTGATGGTTCTCACTCTGTTTTGTAGCAGCAGACTCTGCTTTAGGAAAGTTTCAAAGTACACTAGTACTACTAGATAAGACACTCCATAAACTTTGGAGGGGGAGTCCACTGACTTCACACGGCTAGATTTGATATTAAAATGCATGAAAACATGGCATCTGAATCATCATCCCTGTTGAAAGGGGGTCATCTTTTTCGTGTAAAATACCATGAGTCCATGACCATGACGGCAGATACTAGTTAAGGCAAAAGGACGCCTTGACTTCTGAACTCTGCCCTCTTCCAAAATCTGATTACAGGGGAAGCAACATTTCAGTCTCACTTTTTCCCCTTTTGGAATTAGATGTCAGAGTCTTGTTTGCTGCTGTCTGAAACTGAAACCTAGTGTTATCCATCTTCAGAAATTCTTGCCCAGTTTAATGCATCACAAAATCTGCCGATGCTGATAGAAATGTGCTTACAACATTAAATTTGATTCTTTATCAGTTGTGATGGATATCTTATCCAGCTACCTTTTCTTTCTCTTTACAACAACATTTCTCTCCATAGGCTGGTCTTGCTTATAAAATGAACTAAAATGGACCGTACTAGTTAAAATGAACCACATGCCTTGACTTTGGATGCCTTGTGGATTTAGATGCCAGAGTCTCTCCTGTTTGCTGTCTGAAACCTAATGCTCTCCAGCTACAGAATTATTATCCAATCTGCCGGTTATCGCTAGAATTGTGGTTACAACATAAAGAATAAATTTTAAGGATACCTGATAGGTTGTGATGGATAGGATAAGGTTCTTATCCAGACACCTCTTCCTTCTCTTTAGAATAAATTCTGTAGGCTGGTCCTTGAAAACAAACTGAAATGCTCCTGTGTGTGTGTGAAGAGGCCTTGGTGTGTAGGTAATACTTTCTCTAAGTCTGAACAGTCTCATGCGTCATTCTTATCATGCTGTTTCCTCCTGCATTTGCTATTCCTTTCAAGTACTACAAGGTGGGCATACTCATGCATAATGCATTTGGTGTTGGCGTTGGTCAATAAAATTGCTCTTCTGAACAAAAGTGTATGCAATTGGTGTTGGTCAATACGTATATCAAGTAGCTGTCTGAATAAAATTTCAACTTCTGTTGCAGATACGTTGGGTTCTACAAGGGGGTTCAGAGCGCAGGAGCAGCCGTGGCATGGCAGGTCGACACCCACAAGACGTCTCTGCTGTCGCAGCTGATCGTCAACTGGGGGCTGTGCACCGTCAGCTACCCGCTGCTCGCCGTCCTGGTGCTCCTGGCCGTGAAGGACGAGGACTACTCCGTGTCCAACGTCGACGACGGCGGCAAGGAGAAAGAGACCAAGATGGCCGCGCCGTCAAGCTTCCACTGAGAGGATACATTTCAGTTATTCATCCGCGTGTTCGCCTGCCGCGATATCTCTCGAGTACAATGGTTTAGACCGCGGTGTAGGCGTGAGTGCTCGCTGCTCGACGATGGCTGAGCAATCTTCGTGTTGTGTCAGATTGTGTTACTCCAGTGTGTGTGTGGTTCATGGCGGTGGTGGTGTTCCTTGGTAACATCATGTGATAATTTTTTTTTCTCTGTTTTCATTGTCTTCAGTTCAGTTGAGCTGCAGTATACAGTACAGTATACAGTTTCATTGCTTGTTCAAACCGCTCTGTCAATCAAGAAATGGTAATCAGTTCTGTGTTGCGCGCTTCTCTTCTTCCGTGCGATTTCCGGCTCGTATTTGAGCGAACGGAAACGAGATTCTGAACTGCAGATAGATAGTTCTGCATTTTCTGAATTTTCTGTCAGTCTGGAGTAGGCATATCTTGAGCATATGGATAGAAAGCATATCTTGTGCTATATCCGGTTCATATTTGAGCTAGTGGAAACCGAATCCTCAACTGCAGACAGCTATTTCTGCGTTTTCTGAATTTGCAGGCACATGTTGAGCATATGGATAGGAAGTCGGCTTAAGCATGCTCTTGGAATTCCATGGCGTGCTGGTTCGTATTTGAGCTCATGGAAACGGAATTCTGAACTGCGGATAGCTAGTTCTGCGTTTTCTGAATTTTCATGCAGTCTGAAGTAGGCATACCTGGCTGCAATTTTCAGGCAGGTGGGAGTAGGCACATCTTGAGCATATGGGTAGGAAGCAGCAAATGTTATAATGCTACAGTACAGACAATCTTCCCTCGAAAAGAAAAATAAATACAAACGATGTGTTATATTTGCCATTTCTTATAACCACTCTTTGGCTAGCTAATATACTCTGAATACAAGCAACCTTGCAGTGAACAGAGAGCAGTAATGTAGGCAGCACCAAATGCTGTCCGGCCTTGCAGTCAACTTACAGTCATGCACGTGCGCATATCATCGTCAAAGGTGCCATGTACAGTTAAATTGGAAAAGTATCAAAAATCTGTAACACATAAATAAACAGAGTAGAAAATAAAAAGATTGCCAGGGTAAAAAAAAAGAAAAAGATTGCCCAGCATATTTGACATATGCGCGCTTGGCTAGACGGTGGCCTCAGTCATTAATCCTTGAGTTTGTATGCTGAGTGTGCATGCCGCACACGGAACCACCACAGCACGAGTCACCTCACGGCGCTCGTGTGCTTGGTGTGCCTCCATTCTGGCACGCCTACTGAGCTCACTGCTCACTTAAGAGGTGGTTCTCAAACCACTGAGTGGCCGAGGTGGGACTAAAGAACAAGCAAACTCTGGCCACTCCCATTCGTGAGGAGGGGCTGAGGTCTGATGGCTGTGGGCTGCGAGCAGCTGCTGCTGGGCTGGGCCGCATGGAGGAATGGTAAGGTAAGCTGGGTCCGCGAGAAATTCGGTCTTCACAGGTTTTTTTATTCGGATTCATACCGGAGTAAGCACTGCAGTAATTTTGATTGCCTCACTGCTCTGGATGTGCACATCAAGAGAGCGGTAATTTACTCTCTCCAGAACACTGCTGCTGCACTTCACTGTTCAACACTGGTGGATTACGACAATCTAGCTTATCCAACGAGTCCCTTCTTCTTCTTTTTTTTTTTTTTTACTATTTTGGTGTTTTTTTAGTTGGCTATTTTGGTTTTTGTTTAACTAACTTATTTCTAGCTTTTAAAGTTTTGGAAGAAAAAAAAACCTGAGCCTTGACTGGAGGAAGAAATTTACACAAGTACATAAAAAGAAATTCCACGGCGTGGACAAAACATTGCTTTATTGCGAAAATTATTATAAGCTTACTATAGCATCCAGATAGCTACAGTGGAAAATGGGAGTACAAACGTCATCCCGAAAACTGGCCCAAAATTGCAAACACAAATTCCTGGGTACCCCAAATTCATGCCTACTGCCACGAAACAATTTTACATGTTGACACAATAGCACCTGAAATAAGGCCACCGCCAACCTTTCTCCTGTACTATATGCTCAATGAACACAACCAGGCACTATATTATCTTTTGGTTGTTACAGGATTTGATTTGCGCTTCTACGCGAGCTCGAGAACAAGTGCGGATGCGCCGCCTCCACCGTTGCAGACGCCGGCCACCCCGATTTTGCCACCCTTCTCCCTGAGGACCTGTGGAGCAGCAACATGGTTCCTTAGTTCGTTTACATAACCAACTATGAGAAACGTGCATTGGCGATGTGATGTTGAAAAATGGTGACGATTGAGAAAAATCTGATGGAAGTGAGAGCAAAGGAAACCAGAGACAGCAAGGAGATGGTAACTGAAATCACAGGATATAGTTCTCTCATATCGGAGTGGGCAAATCTCAAGTATTGATACGATACTGTTTTTTTCTGCACGGGTGACAGCTACGATCATATTTGTGAACATTTTGCAGAAATTTTTTTTAACCAAAAATTAGCAGCCATATGGATGGCTGTAGATAAAGATGTCTATTGCTACTTTTGAGTGCCACTGGATTTTGATATTTACTCGAGGAACAGCTTCTACTAGAAAGCAAGACCCATCCTAAAACAACAGGCCCTGGCACATGATCACAACACAGGACAACATCTCAAGAGAAAACTTACACCAATAAGGGTGACCAAAATGCGAGCACCGCTGCATCCAAGAGGGTGTCCTAAAGACACCGCTCCTCCATGTACATTAATCTTTTCCTGCAAGCACAGCTGTTGTCAGCACCGAAGTGATAGCTATCATCTAGTTTACACTAATAAATCTTGCCCGTGGATAGCAAATACTCCCTCCATTTCAAAATAAGTGTCGTGGTTTTAGTTCAAAAACACTTATTTTGGAACGGAGGGAGTAGTAAATAATTGAGACACATTTTCTGACAGGAATGTTAACTTATATTTAGGACCCGAAACAAATTTAGCTTTTCTTTAGCGTGGGAATATATTTGGTTGAAACAAGGCAGCACTTACTGAAGGGATTCCGAGAATCTTCTGATTTGCAAGTGCAACAGCCTGTAATAAGACATGGGAATGAATATTGGTTATAATGCAATTAGTACAAGGTACTAATAAAGAAAGGATCAAGATCGCACCGCAAAGGCTTCGTTAATTTCATAAAAATCAACAGATGAGGATTCTAAGCTAGCATTTGAGAGAGCCTTCGGTATGGCAAGTGCAGGGGTAGTGGTAAATAGTTCGGGAGCCTGCATAAAGAGAACTGGAGGTTAGAAATATCATTCCGATTTATAAATTTTGATAGCGAATAGGTAATAAATTCGCCTATTCCGTCCAGAACCTAGATCCTTATGTACACTTGCCTAGAAGTTTAATCTACTCCAAACTAAGATAAGAACTGGTACTTTAGCTTACTTGAGCTGCATCGGCAAATCCTTTGATCCTTGCAAGAACCTGCAGTCCAAGTTCTTGAGCCTTCTGCCCACTCACCAATACTAATGCAGCAGCACCATCACTGCTCCATGTAAAACAAACAGATAAGCACCACATATTCAGTTCATAGACAAACACACCAGGAAATTTTGGGCAAGTACATTGGATACTGGCAGTCGATGAACAAAGAGAACAAGTAAAAAGTATGATCAAAAGAGGGTCTGAGGTTCAGCTTGTCTTCACCAACAATGAATTGTATAGATAAGAACCTCAACATTCTTAATTTGAATGGATATTTACAAAACTCCTGCTAGAAAGACCAAGCAACATACTAACATTTACCATTAACTGGATTGTAAAAACATACCAAGCAGACAAAACATAAATGTTAAACAGGACAAGCAATTTGCGACAATAAACAGCAGTTAAATGCAGTACAGAGGACAGCAAGAAAACTAGTCAAGTTCAATGCACTGTATAGACCATAATCTTAGGAGTCAAGAAAAGAAAGAAAGAAGAACACATATTTTAGAATATGTTCTGCTGACATCGGTGGTCTGGAAACCATATGGTGCAGAAGTACTCCACAAGGCTAAGATCTAATAGAAAAGACAAGCACCTTATACTAGAAGCATTCCCGGCAGTAACAGTACCAGCGTTCTCCTTGAAACTTGGGCGGAGCTTCCTCAGTTTCGCTGGGTCAAACTAAGAGGCATAAAATGCTCATATTACACAGTAGTAGTAGTAGTAGTAGTAGTAGTAGTAGTAGTATCACATAAAAATGTTATACAGATAACAAATGACATATTTTCCTTGTTTTAATTAACCACAAGACAAATTATCAGCAACTTCGCCAATAACATAGCATGTACAGCCTAATATTTCTTGAGCCTGTGTACATATTACATTTCACGACAGAACGCATATAAACACTAGATACAGAATGAAGACAGACACAACATGCGTCAAACTTGGTTTTTCTGGCAACAAATAATTTGGTTGTTCTTAAAGGAAATTTACAGCTAGTTTTAACAAAAAATGCACAGGATAGCCTTATAGTTCATTGTTTTCAGTTTTTCTGTTTGAACAAATTTACCCTGTCTAAGCTCTCGTCTTTTTCAACAAGCACCGGTGGCTTTCCTCTGCCAACAGGAACTTCAACCTGGTAGATAGGACAGAGGGCATTAGGAAAACAAATAAAGGAATGGTTAGTAGTATTGGCAATGAGACAGAAAATGACCGGAACGATCTCCCATGCAAAAGCGCCACTATCACGAGCAGCAATTCCCCGCTCATTACTTTGGATAGCAAAAGCATCCTACATAAGAATGTATAAATTCAGATACGTCACAACTAATAAATACATGGGTCGTAATGTAAAAGGACATTACATCAATACCGTAAAAAGATGTCAAAGATAGTATTTGACAAATTTAACTCTGCTATATCGCATTCTTCCACAAGAAAATGGAAAATAGAATAAAATGTTGGGAAGTGATTATTATCCAAAAGCATGTTGTTCTGTACTAAAGAGCTACATTGCAATCATACAATTACTATTGATATCCTCGCCCTAAAGTAAGGCATCAATAATTTTGGCAAAACGAACTCTTGCACATTATTAGGAAAAAATCAGTTCCACGTTTGAAGCAAGCAACCGAAGGTTCATTTACTCATGTAGAGCATTATTTAAACCTACCCTAGAAATTTCATGAGAGCATCCCTGCTAGAAAAATTAGAAGGTTAATAGGCCCAAGCTGGTATTAATAGGGCATCACTGACATAAGACAATGGCAGTTATGCATATACTGGTCCAAACCAAACAACCTAAGATGAAGAAAGTAACATAGATAATCAACTTATACGGGACGGTAATGACAAAGTTCAGTGCACACAAAAGACCAACTTTCCGTGTGTTTCAGTATTTAATAATCACCTCTACTGAATCTCTAGAAGTAACAACTGACAAAACATATGCCCTGCTGTGCTAGACAAATACAAGAATAACAACTAGATTAGAAAGCGGTTACTACAATCTGTCGTAACTTACTTGGTCTTCCCTTGTCAGAGCATGATTGTCAGCACAAAGCTCAGCACACACTCCCATGGCACAATCGCCGTATACATCCCAAAGGCCATCCTTAAGCATACCGTCAACAAGGCTGTCATGTCCGAAACGAGAACCTTTTCTGCATTTGATTACACAAATCACTAAGTTGCCGACAAGACACACAAGAGCCATACACTAACATTGTACTGTATTATGTATCAATTCTAACAGATCACACAATACAATTTAAACTTTTAGCTGACTACTTTGCTCATGTACCTTAAAAAGATGAACGAATGGAGCACTACAGAGTACAAAACAGAGCAATCTAAACATAAGGAGTCACACAAACTGTTTTAAATGGATATTTTGGCATTCTCCTTCTCCCTGCATGCTTAGTTTATTTACCGGACAAGACAAGATTTATCTTCAGCTATGCACTACATCCAGATACAACCAAAAGAACACTTTACTGACCTAGCTTCAGCGATGTACTTCGGAGCATTCGACATGCTTTCCATGCCACCTGCCACTACAATATCATTGCTGCCCAATTGAATCGACTGTGCAGCAAACATCGTTGCTGCAGAAAGAGAAAAAAGAAACACAATCACGGTCAAAAAATGTCTCAGTTACAGAAACTGTAAACACAGATTATACAGGCATGGTCACACGAGCTCAAACCTTTCATGCCAGACGCGCAGACTTTGTTGACGGTAGTGCAAACAACCGTGTTTGGTATCCCTGCACCCAAGGCAGCCTGTCTTGCAGGAGCTTGCCCCAAGTTAGCACTCAAGACATTGCCGAAGAAGACCTCCTGCACAAGGGATGGATCCACATTTGCCCTTTTCAGAGCAGCTGATCGCCCCCAGTCAGCATGTTATTATTACTGTCAGGTTAAACAGAGTTAACAGATTGTACCTTCACGGGGGCATATAGAGAAGATACTGATCTCACCTTCGATAGCTACGGAGCCGAGTTTGGTAGCAGACAAGGAAGACAGGGCGCCGAGGAAACCACCCATAGGGGTGCGGGCGACCCCGACAACGCAGACATCTGTCGGAAAGGAAGAAGTTACTAACTGCAGCATATTTTGTAGCACACTATATACAGTAGCACATTTCTCTTTTGTATGATCTTTCCCTTAAATTTCAGTTTCTGGTGATTTTTACAAATATGTGCACACAAGAAAATCAAAGGAAATAAAACCAATTGTGCCTCACATCATGCCACGCCAGTAGCGAGTGATTTGTTTACACCTTTGTGCAGATCGTCGTCAAATTTTTCATTTCTTTTATTATGAAGTCTGAACTAGTAAGAAGGAGCTCATTATGAACATTATCGTAGACAAGGGCCGCGGTTGGTTCAGAAGAAGAAAAACTGGGATACGATACGGAGCGAAACGAGGGACAAGGGTACTACCTCTGGGGCCGATGTTGTCTGAACCCATGGCAGCTCTCCGACCTCGACCTGCAAAATCAGGCGAACGAAAGCAAACTCCGGTTCAGTCTCGCTGCGGGATCAGGCAAGCAGCCGCCGCGTCACGCGCGGTCCAGAGGGGGGACGACGGACGTCGCTGCCGCGCCGGCGGCGCCAAGGAGCGGTCCACGATTATCGTGACGGCGAAGTAAGCCGCCGCATCACGGCATCAGACCAAGAAAATGCAGAGAAGGATGAGAGAAAGAGGCGAGGGAGCGTGCCTGGGGCCGGATCTGGCGGCGGTGGAGGCGGAGTGCACGAGGCGCGGGAGCGGGGGTCAAGCAGCCGAGATCGGGCGGGGCGCGGAGGCGGGGCTGCTGGCTGCTCGTGCCTGGTCTGGACTTCTCGCGCTGTTTATAATGAGGAAGGGGTCAGTCGCTCAGGGTCCAAGGCCTACAAAGGCTCGTTGCCCGCTTGGCAGCCATTGGAGATGAAACATGGACTTTTACGAATAATCTTTAAAAAAACACGTCAGCTAAATGTCAGCTGACTGACTTCGGTTTCAACTGACTTGGGGTTGGGGTCAGTCGATTTCGAGAGCTCGCCGGAGGGAGGCCGGAGGGAAGGAAGGAGCTCATGCGAAGGGCTACCCCACCATCTATCTTAGGGTGGGGGTGGGGGCGGCAACACGCCGGTGGTGCAATGTCTTCGGGGCTAAAGGGATGGCCGAGGGGAGGGAGGGTGGCAGCACGGCGGTGGGCCGCGATTGGGGGAGGGCGGGAGCGGTCGATCTGGCGTGGGAATCGTCGGCCACAGGAGGTGGAAGCCGGTTGTTCAACCGGTGGTACGCGAGGTGGTCAGATCAGGAGGAATATGAGCGGGAGGTTGAAGATGCAATCTCGACCGTCTGTTTTATATTCGATGGCTGATAGGAATCGACTGACCCAGATGATTTTTTTTCAGACAACTAACAACTAGCCGCACAAAAAAACTGCCAAAACTCCTACCATTGATGTGTTTGGAAAAGAGTAACTCGGACATCCGAATGATAATGATGATGTCATGGATTATTCGCGATTGGCCAAGATGATGTGCTCCCTCTCCGTCAACAACGACCTCCTGCGACCGTTTCCTCGAAGATTATGTCGGGGGCAACTACCGCGACTTAAGCGACTTGAAGGGCATCTCAGGCCTCTCTAGCCTCACTACCAGTGAGGTGGCGGGAAACCAACCGTGGCAGGGCACTGATGTGCAGCGGACGGCCTCCGACGTGGAGGAGGCAGGGCTTCGACGTGGTAGCTAGCGGCCCAGAACAACCTCCAACATGTCTCGATGATCTCGCTCCTCCTCATCCTCCACAATGAGGGATTTCCTCCTACGCAACCTCCTCATCCAAGTGTCGTTCCTCCTACTCGGTGGGCGACACCCAGTCCACCCTTGGGCAAAGTGACATGATGAGGACGAGGGAGGGAAGTGGAGTTGCGGGGCCATGGGGAGATGAGCTAGGACGGGAAGGTGTCGACCTTTTTATAGCCGCAGGCGGTGGAAAATGGTACACACAGTGGGAAATATGTGGGAAACGAGCATGGGCAGTTGGCCTGGCCATGCGACGACGTCCATTAATTGTCTTGTTTCATAGTGACGTAAGCAGAATGATTGGTATTGTCGTCTAGGCCATCGACGAGGAGAAAGAATAGGTTGCCCAGAGGAGGAGAGAACGGTGAAACTTCCCTCCCACATAGCTGGTTTTTGCTGATGCGTGTTTGAAAACAATGCCGCCATGTCTCCCCAATTTGAAGGTTGTGGTCCACTATTGCATCGTGCTCCAAAAATTATGGAGGCCAAGACTGGTATGGCAACTCTACTAGACCTGCTTTTTGGATCTCAAACTCAATATGGCAATTATCACACCAATTCAGACCAATATGATGCATCCACTAGAGTTTTTGCACCTCAAACTTCATATGGACAATTATCATACCGATTGGACCAATATGATGCATCCGCAAGAGTTGCTTTAGGAGCTTAATTTGCATACTAGAAAACAAACATAATTTTGCATTAATGTGCATTGGAAGTATAAAAGTTGCCCCACGGCATGGGAAGTATGTATACTAGATATGCCATCGTTCAAGGAGCAGGTTAAGAGCACCTCCAAAAATGTACCTAAATTCCGTAGCCTAAAATGATTATATGTCTTCCATTTGCATATATTCCTATTATGCACACTTTAAACTAATACACGAATTCAACAAGATAATTCAAGTAAAATACGAAAATGTTACACACATAGTCCACATAGAAGTCAATACATAACCGCTACTAATTTAGGAAATCATTGAAACCAATATAAAAGCCACTTATTGTAGACAAATTTGTGGATCAGGACTATTACTCCCAGGAGCATAATGGTGGTCATCAAACTGGTAATGATGACCAAAAGGAAAACCCTGGTTAGCTCTGCTGAACAACAACGGGTCCCACGAGTCTCGTGGCTCGGTAGACGGTGGATCCGCACGAGAGGCACTTGCGCACGCAACCGGATAGTTCGCGTGCGCAAACCTAACTTCAAGAATGTTGGCATAGCTCTTCTCCATGGACAAACTGTTTTTTTTCTTTCTTTTTTCGGTGTCTCCATCCGGTTTTGGTCTGTTTTATTTTTCATATGTTTTTTTTATTTCTCCCTTTTCAGTTTTGGCATAAAAACGTTTTATTTTGTAATGCTTGATTGGTTTTCCAAAAATCACAAACTTTTTTTAAGATAAGCGAACTTTTTCAAGACATTAACATGTTTTAAACATGATATATTTTTTTCCTTCTAAGACATTAACATTTTTCAAAATAATATGTTTTTACCGCATGAATGTTTTTGAAACATGATACGGCAATATATTTTTCGCAATATAAGTAGTTTATAATTTACAGTTACTGATTTCAATATATATTTTATTCTTTTGAATTTTATTTCAATACATTTTTTAATGTTATTTTTTCAATATAAAGAATGAAAAGGCTGCTACTACTGGGCCTAGGCCGTGACATCCCATATATGTATGGGGGCCCTGACGCGATTTCCTCCTATCCTTCGGCCAGAGGCGTAGAGTAGGAGGAGCATAGGTGGATAGGTCGACCAGGTCCACCTTCATTGGTCTCTTCTTGACTGCCCGGTGTTGCGAGCCTTGACTCCACGTCCACATGCATGCACATGCATGCGCATACCTCGTCTCGTCTCTCGTTTCTTGAATTCAAAATCTCCTCTGGGGAAAATACCACACGATGGATTTCATATGGAAGAAACACATAAAAATACTCCAAGTACAACACCAATAGTACATCAACATGGCATGCAGGCACAGATCTCAGACTAAAGAACTGCATTCCTGGCTTCAAGGAAGATCGCATCGCATCCATCCATGCATGTGCACAGCACAGTAGTGTCCTAGACTTCCATCTTGCGAAACATTATTTGGCTCTGGCAGTGGCGCTCGGGCATGAGATCACCAGCTCGATCACCGACACCACTGTACGACTGACGCATGCCGGCACCGGCAAACTCCTCCGATGCACCGGCGGTGCACCTGCCGCCTCGGGCCAGTCGAGCTCCTGCGGAGGACGCGCCGATCAGCTCCTCGTCGGCGACGAGCCTGGCGAGCGCATCGGGGGCGAGGCACACCTCCAGCTCCATGCCGCCTCTCCCTCCACCGTCCTCGTACACCGTGACCATCCCGTCCAGCTTGCTCCCGGCGCCGCTCCGGACGGCCACCGGTCCGCCCCACCCGAAGTCGTTGCCGTACACGTGGAACCGCGGCGAGCCGCTCATCACCACCACCGCAGGCTCCGTGCCGTAGTCGGCCGCGTACCGGAAGCTGGGGTTTCGGGACCAAGACGCGAGCTCGGCCGTCAAGCCCGCCTCGTCGAACGAGGCCACGGCACGGTTCAGCAGCCACGCCGCCCGGCCCAGCCGGCCGTCGCCCAGGATCTCGCCGACGGGCGTCCTGGCGACTGCGCCTGCCACCGCGTTGCCGATGTAACCTTGCGGAATGCCCTTAATGCGTGTCCGGCATCCGATGGGGAGCGTGAGCTTCGTCTCCTGCTCCGGGGCCAGACCCCGGGCTCGGCACACCGCTCGCCATAGGTGCGCGAACAGGGCCTGCAGAGACGAGATGGTGGCCGTGGCCGTGCCGGCCATCTCGGCATTGGCCTTCGCCTTCAGCTTCTTTATGCTCTCCGGGGAGAAACGGATCGAGCATTCTTGCACCGGCGGGTACTCGAACCGCCTGACCATGTCTTGTACCTTGGCGAATGGTAGAGGGGTCGGCACGGGGCAGCCCTCGTGGAACCACCTCTGGAGCGTCGGCGTCGCCACCATGGATGTGCCATTGTTGTTGCCGTCGCCGCCTCGGCTGATCTCCGACCATGTGTTGAACAGGTCCCAGAACGTCGTCCCGTCGGCGGCGCAGTGGTTGAGCGACATGGCGACGAAGACGCCGTCGGCGAGCTCGGTGACCTGCGCGGCCAGGAGCGGCAGGCTGGGGTCCACGACGGCGTCCGTGCCGACCACCCCGTTGAGAGGGAAGAAGGACCAGACCACACGTGGGGTGCAGAGCGCCCCGGTGATGTCGGCGACGGTGACCCCGGGCGCCACGGCGTGGACGAACTCGGCGCCTTCGTCGCTGCAGCAGAGCGAGATCGTCAGGCCCGGCTGACGCGACGGCGCCCCGTTGCCGTCGTTGGCCACGGGTGCGACAGCGAAGCGGCCGGCGAGGGGGTAGAAGCGGGCCACGGCGCGCGCGAAGGACGACGCGAGGTGCTCGACGGCGTGCACGCCGGCCGGAGGCTTGGGCAGGAGGACGCCCTTCTGGATGTAGTCCACAGTGATCCGCCGCAGGTCCCATGGCGTCAGGTGTACCGTCTCAGGCTGCCGAGGCCGCGAGCTCGCCTCATACTCCGGCTTGACCATGCGCCGGGACAAGATTTTGACACCGCCACCTTTCATCTTTGATCGCCGGAGCAGCAGCCAGAACGTGAGTTTGTCTCGATCGTGTGTGTGGACTGCGTGCTGTGTGCCTTTTTTTTCCGATAAGCGTGTGCTGTGGGGTGTGGGATATATATGGAGAGCAGGAGCGAGTTAAGATGTCGAAGCTTTCCTTCTTTTTTTTTTTTTTTTTACTTTTTGCGAAATGGCCACCGCGTGGTTCGCGTGGTTCATACGACACCCTACATACGACACATTTTTCTGGAAACCTGCGGAAGGTAACGAGAACCAAACTACAAACACCTCTTGTCCAATTTCGGTACGACGTTGCGATCCAACGACGTGGTGCATTTTGGTTCGATCTTCAACATCGTACAAAAGTCCAATGAAAATCGCCATACGTATAGCATGAATGGTTTGGGTAGGCCCCAAGATGCACGAGTGCACGACGACTTCACGACTTTCTATCATAATAGGGTTTGCTCTGCTTCGATAAGGAAGTGGTGATGATGGCGGCGTGTTCGTCTCAGCCCAGTGCTTGTGGTCGTCACTAGGTGGTCTGATACTGGATGTACTTATATATTTCTTTTACTTTTAATGTTCTTTGTACTATCTTGATAGTTGATGAATACGTAAAAAAAAGGTATGCGCCAAAAATTTGTATCGTACAAATGTATTGATGGTGGATGTGCTTTGTATGTACCGTATAGATATGAATCTAAATTTGTATTAATAAGTAATTGAACCCAGACAAGTGAGTCTGGCTTACTTTTGTTGTTGTTGTTATTGAGAGATCTGGCTTACTTGTTATGCTTTATTTACCGTACAAATAAAAGTGCCTCATGCATCCAATTTCCTAAACAAGTAAGCCAGGCTCACTTCACAATTTTCCCCTTTCATTCTATTTAACTATTGATATACTTTATTTATTTTATTTTAACTATCTTCTTGCTTTTATTTATTATTGAGCTATTTATAATTATTTTCTGTAGCTTTAATATACAATTGACGCAGTAGCTTATAAGAATGTTCATGTAGTTTATATTTCTGTCCACAGATCTATATAATGCGTAGCGGTAGCAATTTATTTTGAGAAGAAGGTAAAATAAAGCAATGGAGTTACTTGTCGTGCCAAATATTTTTAACAAGTTATGTGAACAATTTTGTTAAATACAGGAACATATTTCACGGTCATTAGAAAATCTCCACAAACTTTTTAACATGAATTGATTTTTGTTCATTATCCATGGTTTAAAAACAAACCGTGTTAACTTGCATCAGAACAAGTAAAATCCCATCGAATTCCTATAGGTTAGAACATACGATGTATGAATGAAATATCAATTGACTTAAGCATGCCCTCAACTTTCTTTAATGATCGGATATTGTCTCCTTTTAGCTTTATGTGATTTTGCTAGAGTTTCATTTATGCCTAATTCACATAGAGTAGACCCTGTTATTGTGGGAATTCTTACTTCAAGGGAGGGACTTATGTCACCACAAGCAAAAACTAAACTAGGTCCTGGATTTCACTCCAGTGTTAAAGATTACAAATTGACTTACTACACCCCCCTTGTATGATTCTAGAAAACATTTTTTGTGATAAAATAATTATTACAAGTTAGGCAGAGGTTTAATTGAGACACATGAACATTTTTTGTCAAACATAAACATGTTCTTTTTGTATTATTATTTTTGTCAAAGTATTTTTATGTAATGGTCAAAGAAAAAGATGGACAAAACTGCCAAAATTAATGGGTTGTAAGTCCATAAAGGGCATGTAAATTGGTTGAGATGGCAGTCTTATACAAGAGTGGCGTTTTGGCTCCTAGGTGTAGATACACTCATTATGAAATATGTATAAAAACACATTTCAAGATGTTAGAAAAATTGAAAAAAAATCACGCATGTACAAGCGGACATCCTCTGTTCACACACAAAATTTCAGTGAAAAGAAACATTTTTTTGTGGCATGTATGAAACAGATAAAAAATGCCTCGTGAATAGTTGTAAACAAGCATAAAAAATGTCTTTTTTACACATGCCACAAAAAATGTCCTTTTTCATCGAAACTTGGTGCACGCACATATAATGTCCGGATTTACACGCGGGGTTTTTTCTTGAATTTTTTTAACTTTAAAAAATGTGCATTTTGCCAATGGGTGCATATACACCTATGAGCTAAAGTGAATTTCTGGTCTCTTATACTAAGATTCCCCACCGCTGCCGCCCGTAGGAGTCTGGGTCATGTCTCAGTCCCAGTGTGTCTGATCATCCTCTCGGACCAGCTATTGAGATCTTGCAGCTTTCCTTTTTTTCATTTTTTGCGAAAATCACCACCGTGTGGTTCATTAAACCATAGCCACACCCAACATACGTAACACATTTTTCTGGAAACCTGCGGAAGGTAACAAGAAACCAAACTACAAACACCTCTTGTCCAATTTTGGCACGACATGCAATCCAACGATGACGTGATGCATTTTGGTTCGATGTTCAACATCCCACAAAAATCGGATTAAAATCGCCATACGTATAGCGTGCATGGTTGGGTAGACCCCAAAATGCACGGCGACTTCTCGACTGTCTATCATAATAAGGTTTGCTCTGCTTTGACCGTCCAAAACGCACGACGACTTCTCGCATGGTGATGATGGTGGCGCGTCATCACCTCGCCCCAGTACTTGTGGTTGCCACTAGGTGGTCTACGAATCTGTATGTATATTTTTTTTTACTTCTGATGTTCTTTGTACTATCTTGATAGTTGATGAATACGCAAAATAAAAGTATGCGGCAAAAATTGTATGGTACAAATATATTTATTGTGGATGTGCTTTGTATGTACCGTATAGATAGGAATCTAAATTTGTATAAATAAGGAGTTGAACCCAAACAAGTGAGTCTGGCTTACATGTTATACTTTATTTACCGTACAAATAAAATTGATTCATGCATCCATTTTCCTAAACAAGTAAACCAGGCTCACTCTACAATTTTCACCTTTTTATTTATTTAATTAATGCTATACTTTATTTATTTATTTTATTACTATCTTCTTGATTTTATTTATTATTTAGCTATTTATAATTATTTTCTGTAGTTTTAATATACAATTGACACAGTAGCTCATAAGGATGTTCATGTAGAATATATTTCTGTCCACATATCTATATAACGCTTAGTGGTAGCAATTTATTTTGAGAAGAAGGTAAAATAAAGCAATGGAGTTACTTGTTGTGCCAAATATTTTTAACAAGTTATGTGATCAATTTTGTTAAATACAGGAACATGTTTCACGGGCATAAGAAAATCTCCATAAAACTTTTTAACATAGATTAATTTTTGTTCATATCCATGGTTTAAAAACAAATAAAATCCCGTCGAATTCCTATAGGTTAGAACATACAATGTATGAATGAAATATCAATTAACTTAAGCATGCCCTCAACTTTCTTTAATGATCGGATATTATCTCCTTTTAGTTATATGTGATTTTGCTAGAGTTTCATTTATGCCTAATTCACATAGAGCAGACCCTGTTATTGTGGGAATTCTTACTTCAAGGGAGGGACTTATGTCACCACAAGCAGAAACTAAACTAGGTCCTGGATTTCACTGCAGTGTTAAAGATTATAAATTGACTTACTACACCCCCCCCCCCTTGTATGATTCTAGAAAACATTTTTTGTGATAAAATAATTATTACGAGTTAGGCGGAGGTTTAATTGAGACACATGAACATTTTTTTGTCAAACATAAACATGTTATTTTTGCATTATTATTTTTGAAACCTCTCCTATATAAATTAAACCGTCTAAAAGTATTTTTATGTAATGGTCGAAGAAAAAGATGGGCAAAACTGCCAAAATTAATTGGTTGTAAGTCCATAAAGGGCATGTAAATTGGTTGAGAAGGCAGTCTTATACGAGAGTGGCGTTTTGGCTCCTAGGTGTAGATACACGCATTATGAAAAATGTATAAAAATGCATTCCAAAATGTTAGAAAATTTTGAAAAAAAAAATCATGTGTGTATAAGCGGACATCCTATGTTCGCACACAAAATTTCGGTGAAAAGAAACATTTTTTGTGGCATGTATGAAAAACATAAAAAATGCCTCATGAATTTACATGTGTGAATTTCCTTTTTCATCGAAACTTGGTGCACGCACATACAATGTCCAGATTTACATGCAGGATTTTTTCTTGAAATTTTTTAACTTTTAATAACATGCATTTTGCCAATGGGTGCATATACACCTATGAGCCAAAGTGAATTTCCGGTCTTATACTAAGATTCCCCACTGCTGCCTCCCATACGAGTCTGGGTCGTGTCTCAGCCCCAGTGTGTTTGATCATCCTCTCGGACTAGGTACTGATCATCGCCTTGGTAAGTTATTGCCTCACCAAAACTAGCTAACCAGACGCGAGCCCGTCCTTGGGCGGATTTTTCGGGCCCAACAGAGCCCGTAGCCTTGTCAATTGTCATTCATGTTTTCCATCATATTATGGTTTCCCTTAATTCATTTTTATTTTATTTTTGACTTTTGACAGGCTCCAACATTCATGGATGATATCTTCTCAAAAGAAAAAACAAAGAATCATCGATGATTTTTTTAATGGCTTAGAGACACATTTGTCTGTGAGTTGCGTGAACATTTTGATCTATGCTCCTAGACATGAACGCAAGCATCGCGGTACTCACACTTGGCTGGCTGCAAATTGCGCCCCAAATTTTGCAGTGCAGCAGGCCACACTTGGCCGGTTGTCACCATTGCCATGAATTTTGGCCCTGTGAAGCTCCAGACGGCACCCGAACCCGATGATGAAGACAGCTAGTGATCACCCAACGCACGTTTCGTGTGTGCGTGCGTGGGAGAGGGGCCATTATCCTGGATCAATCAATCAGTCAATGTATTGGCCATCAATGGAGGCATCATCAGAACGCAACGCAGCAGGGAGCTATGGCCGTCTGTCTATCTATCTATCTCACTCGGCATCGCACGTCCGCACAGATGGGCAGG